CTCCAAGCGGGATGTCATGTGCCTTTTACTGAGGAGTGGCTTCCGTCTGGCCACTCTATCATAAAGGCCTGATTGGTGGAGTGCTGCAGAGATGGTTGTCCTTCTGGAAGGTTATCCCATCTCCACATAGGAACTCTAGAGCTCTGTCAGAGTGACCATCGGGTTCTTGGTCACCTCCCTGACCAAGGCCCTTCTCCCCCGATTGCTCAGTTTGGGTGGGAGGCCAGCTCTAGGAAGAGTCTTGGTGGTTCCAAACGTATTCCATTTAAGAATGATGGAGGCCACTGTGTTCTTGGGGATCTTCAATGCTGCAGAAATGTTTTGGGTACCCTTCTCCAGATCTTTGCCTCGACACAATCCTGTCTCGGAGCTCTACGGACAATTCCTTCGACCTCATGGCTTGGTTTTTGCACTGACAAGCACTGTCAACTGTGGGACCTTAAATAGACAGGTGTGTGCCTTTCCAAATCATGTCCAATCAATTGAATTTTCCAAAGTTGTAGAAACATCTCAAGAATGATCAATGGAAACAGGATGCACCTGAGCTCAATTTCGAGTCTCATAGCAAAGGGTCTGAAGACTTATGTAAATAAGGTATTTCTGTTTTTATTTTTATAAATATGCAAACATTTCTACAAACCTGTTTTCACTTTGTCATTATGGGGTTTTGTGTGTAGATGTTTTTTTATTTACCAAATTTTAGAATAAGGAAAAAGTCAAGAGGTCTGAATACTTTCCGAAGGCACTGTATATCTGATTAAGTACTGTTACCTTGAAAATGGCTGAAGATTATGGACCAGATGGCCTTGCTTTCTTTTCATGACGAATGACTTTAATCAGTCTGTTTCTGTCGTGTGAGTCTGTGTGCGAAGTCAATACAAATGTGGATGCTGTTGAAACGTCAGATCAGTCCCAACAAAACCTCACAGATTATGACTCCACGTCTAGTGCAGCTGGACCTTGACAGTATTGAGTGAAGATAATATGGGGTTCAGTTAGATGGGGTAAATTGCTGGGTGCAGTCATCTGCAAAGGGGTGAGAGAGAAGGGAGGGAATGTAGTCAGAGAGGATATGTTAAGCAGCATTCAGGAAAAACAGCTGACAACATGAAAAGCCAAACGCTGGCATCCTTTTACACAACAGACTCCGGTGTACAGCTCTGTGTTCTCCTAACAATACCCCGCTGTCTTTCCCTCTCTCTATCCCTGCCTCTCTCGCTCTCTGTGTTTCTTTATCATTCTCTTTCTCCATCCCTCCCTCTCTCTCATTAGCCCTCTCTCTCTCTCTCTCTCTCTCTCTCTCTCTCTCTCTCTCTCTCCTCTCTCTCTCTCTCTCTCTCTCTCTGTTTATCATGCTCTCTCTCTATCCCTCCCTCTCTCTCTCTATCCCTCCCTCTCTCTCTATCCCTCTCTCTCTCTATCCCTCCCTCTCTCTATCCCTCCCTCTCTATCCTTCCCTTTCTCTCGATCCTTCCCTCTCGCTCTATCCCTCCCTCTCTCTCTCTATCCCTCCCTCTCTCTCTCTATCCCTCCCTCCTCTCTCTATCCCCCCCCTCTCTCTCTATCCCTTCCCTCTCTCACTCTATCCCTCCCTCTCTCTCTCTATCCCTCCCCTCTCGCTCTATCCCTCCCTCTCTCTCTCTATCCTTCCCTCTCTCTCTATCCCTCCCTTGCTCTATGTAGGTATCTGTCATTCTGCTCTACCTCCCTGCAGTCCATCTCTGTTTTTACCTCTCACTCCCTCTTGCTATCTCTGTCACAGGCACACTCGCTCTCACATTTTCTCTCCCACTACCTCTCTCGTCCTCTACCGCTGCCTCTCATTGCCTCCATCTAGCACTCACTCGTTCTCTCCTGCTACCTCTCCCTGCCTCTTTCACTCGCTCTTCCACTAGAAAAAAAAGGCCTTTAACAGTAGCTACCTAGCTGAGATGAACAGGCTCATGTGTAAACATTAACTTGAGGCGAGGTAGAAACACAGAAAACAATGAGCTGCTGATAATTGTGTTGTAGCTCTAGTGGTTTCTTCTATCTCACATTGTCTTTGCAAGAAAAGAGTGAATGATTTAAGCAGGTAATGGGCTCAGTCTGGGAAAAGTACAATCCATGTACAATGGGTAAAATACGGAAGGGTCAAATATAGACCCACAAAGGTTTAGAGGTCATAGAACATCTGCTAAATGACTAAAATGTCTAATGTACATATACAACCACACCAAATGTTTACTCGTACGGTACAGTTAACCTCATCTGGTTTATTTCGACATACTGAATGAGTGAGTGAATGTCTTTGGTTTGTAGGTAGCTCCATGTTTGAGTGTCTGTGAATTATTTTGACTACATGGTTGAGAGCGCCTAGTGAATTCAGCTCCAGCTGCTTGCCGCTGTATGAACATGCTCATGCAGTACTTCAATCTAGCCTCCAGGGGGCTCTGTTCTGTTTCAAACTGAGCCTCAGACCTTCAGATGGGCAAAGTCATCAGAAGAAGCAGCAGTAAGTGGTGATGATAGAACCAAGGTATTTGAGTGCACTATTAACACCTGTAGGTATTGTATCAGCCATCCACCAGGAGGAAAATAGGAGGGAACACTATATTTGCATGAAAAGCCTCCCTCCAAATATCTAGGACTTGAATAGGAGAAGCTCTGACTGTTACATTCAAGAGCAGTGTGCTGGAGTAGACCTAACCACTATTGGACCAATAGTGATCTATTTTTACCAATAGGGCAAGCTCATATTTATCTCTTCTCACAGAAATCTAAATCAATAAAATCAAATTGCGTTTCTCACATGCTTCGTAAACAACAGATGTAGAATAACAGTCAAATGCTTACTTACGGGCCCTTTCCAACAATGCAGAGTGAAAAAACGTAATAATTGAAAAATAACAACACAATAAATAAATACACAATGAGTTACCAGTACCGAGTCGATGTGCATGGGTACGAGGTAAGTATGGAAGTAGTTTTGTGCCTACACAAAAAAGGGTTAAATATGTGAAAAATATATATACATATATTTCCTCAGCTTTCTTATATCTCATTGATATAGGACAGATACTCCAAAACCTTCTTACAATTTAGCAATGTTATTCAATGTGTTTCTATGGGATTTGGTGCTAAAGGCCAAATTCTATATTTTATACCATAAGAAAATCATATTTTATTTTGATACCTAAAGGGGTCCTAAAATCCTAAATCAAATAGCTAAATGATCCATGGTTTGACCATCTTAAAACAATTCCATATGTCAACTTTTTGAAGATCATGGGCCCATGGAACTTGAATCTCTTGACCCGCACCACTACAGCCCCGTCGATATGGATGGGGGCATGCTCGGCCCTCCGTTTCCTGTACTCCACGATTAGCTAATTTGTCTTGCTGACACTGAGGGAGAGGTTGCTGTCCTGGCACCACACCGCCAGTGCTCTGACCTCCTTCCTATAAGCTGTCTCATCATCATCTGTGATCAGGCCAACCACTGTCCTGTTGTCAGCAAACATAATGATGGTGTTGGAGTCATGCGCGGCCACGCAGGAAGTACAGGAGGGGACTAAGCACGCACCACTGAGGGGTCCCTGTGTTGAGGGTCAGCGTGGTGGATGTGTTGTTGCCTACCCTTCCGTCAGGAAGTCCAGGATCCAGCTGCAGAGGGAGGTGTTCAGTCCAAGGGTCCTGAGCTTAGTGATGAGCTTGGAGGGTACTATGGTGTATAACGCTGAGCTGTGGTCAATGACCAGCATTCTCACATAGGTGTTCATCTTGTCCAGGTGGGAGAGGACATTTTGGAGTGCAATAGAGATTGTGTCTTCTGTGGATCTGTTGGGGTGGTATGCGAATTGGAGTGGGTCCAGCGTGTCTGGGATGATGGTGTTGATATGAGCCATGACCAGCAAATCTAGACAGCAGTTCAATGTTGTGCTATCAGCATCCCTTTGTAGAAATATACATTCTCTCTCACACAGACACACACATACATACACACACACACACACACACACACACACAAACAAACACGATACCAAGCCCATGCCTCTAATATCCTTATGTATGGCAAATGTTGGAGATCAGCGAAGGTTCTCAACCTCCTATGGAAACATTTAATTCATACTGAACAAAAATATAAATGCAACATGCAACAATTTCAAAGATTTTACTGAGTTACAGTTCATATAAGGAAATCAGTCAATTGAAATATCTTAATTAGGCCCCAATCTATGGATTTCACATGACTGGGCAGAGGCCCACCCACTTGGCAGCCAGGCTCACCCACTGGGGAGCCAGGCCCAGCCAATCAGAATGAGTTTTTCCAGACAAAATGGCTTTATTACAGACAGAAATACTCCTCAGTGCAGTTAATAGATCTGTATCTGACATCCTTCTTCTAATACAATGACAACATTAGTCAAAGATTAAACATAGAGACAAACTCATATTAGATCTGTCTTTCCACTTTTATTTGTGTTTCTCCACAAGTTCCCACAATGCACCACAAAGACTTGTGTCCAATAATGAATATATTCATGTATACATATAATAATAGTTACATAAAAAACATTTCACAAAAGACAATATTAAATATGTAGATTTTCAGTTGCATGTCAAAATCTTGATTCTTTTTTTTCCCCATTTAACATGCATTAAATATATAAAAATATAATTCTGATTGATTAAGTTTATATACATTTTTTGAAATAAATATAAGAATACAAATGTATTTTTAAAATACAAAGATAAATACAGTCACATTGTGTACAGTGTGTACCAAACCAGAAAATACAAACATTATTTGGATATTTAGCATTCACAAAACACAAATACGTTAGAAATGCAACTTTAATGACAATTGCAGGTCTATGTCTTTCGTTCGTTTCACTTTTCTTTTTTCCTACCCAGACTCCTCAGCTCCCACTCCATACACATGGCAGGACTCCTGACAGGAAGTCAGGAAGTTGGAGGTCAGAGTTCAAAGGTGTTGAGTGGAGGGTATTTAAGAATGTCTAGCTCTGGCGGACATCCTGTAACAGTTTATTGATCTCAGCCACCAGCTCGCTGGCGTCCATCAGCTCATGGCGGCTGTCGCTCCTCTTCCCCTGCAGGTGTCCCAGCTGCCCCAGCACCGAGTCAAACTCATCCTCCTCAAAGTTCTCTGGGATCTCCTCCATGGCTGGGAGCCACTTACCGCACGGCCCTGGGAGGGGGACAGGGACAGGAATGGGGGCAGGGGCCAGGGAGGGTACCACCAGGGTGGGGCTAACCAGGGCAGTGAGGAGAGGGCTGTTCTTGGGGGTGGGGGCGTGCTGTCCGTGCCCAACGACTTGGTTCTTGTGGTTGTTCTGGGGGCTGAGCTTGGTGCTGGGTTTGAGGGTGTGGTAGCTGCCGTTCTGGGGGTGTGGGTGGCCTGAGGGCCCGATGTTAGATCCGGGGTTCTGGAAGTGGGTGTTGGCGGCCCACGCTGCCACACCTTGCTGGTGGGCAGCAGCACTGGGCTTACCTGGCAAGTGACCCCTCCTCCTGTCCAGTGAACCCGTCATGGGGACACCTACACCCCCCACACTCACACCTCCCTTCTGGGTCTCACTGACCTGGACGTAGGAGTCCAGAGACGGGGGGAGGAGCCTCTGGAACACGCTGCTCATCTCTGACAGCAGGGAGGTGGTTCCACACAGGTCCTCCTCCTCCTCTCCCCCATCTTCCGCCTCTCCCTCCTCGGCTCCCTCCTGGTTGTCCTTGCCGAAGGTGGAGAAGCTCTGGTTGCTGCGTTGGGCATGAGGGTGGGCGGGGTCGGAGGGCTGGGGGGGCTCCTGAGGGTCGCTGGCCTGGCGGGGGTCCTCTCCTGGGATGAAGAGGTTGCTGCGGTAGTCAGAGGAGGCTGGGGAAGGCAGGGGAGGCATCCAGCACTGGTCAGAATGACCCAGGACACGACACTCCTCAGTGCATAGTCTCATCGCTACAGAGAGAGGGAGAGAGAGAGACATGGTCAGGGATATAGAGTCACAAGGCACTGCATAGATGAAATACACAGAAGATGGGCCCCATATGGCCATGCGTTTAAACATACACACACCATAGATTGTTCTGGGTATTACTGTTCTTTTGTTGATAGACTTGTGATGAGGGGAGATGGTGATGAGTAGCTATAGAATTAGGATTGGTTTTGAGGGGAGGAGATGAGAGATTGTCTTTCATACAGTCTTTTAACATCAAACATTTGATCTCCATTCATCCTTAAACACAGTTGTGTGATCTGGGTTCAAACATGGGTTGAAATCTAAGCTAATTAGATAGCATAGCACTCTGTGGGAGTGAGCACGCTACCTATAAGATGCAATTAACATGTCGGGGCAATTCACTGGGCCAGATCAATGGCTACTATTACTCATTCAAAAGCCTGCATTTTTCCCTTTCATGTCGTGTCTATTCAATATTAAATCTTCAAATGAAAAATCTCTGAAGAATAAATTAGACAAATCAAATATGCCAAGTTAAAGCTTTCATTAAAGAGCGCTGGTTTTTCACTCATACTATTCAGGGACTTCATTACGCTCTCATTACCATAAAAGGACAATTTATAATACATCTTAGAGCTGATGAAGGAAGAGTGCATTGGGGAACATTAGAAAAACAGCAGCCTCGGCCATGCAGCAGATTGGCTCCCCCGCTGATGAAAGATTAACCGGACTGATTGACAAAAAACGCCTTTCAAAGCTGTCAATAAACCACTCCAACCTGCCTCTCCACCTGCCTGCCTGCCCAGCTGACTGCCTGGTTGCCTGATCGCACTCTGAAATAATTGTGTTGTGGAGGAGATTAGAGCTTTTTTTCATCAGAGAAACGGGTGATAATTCTACCTCTTTTCTCCCTCCACAGTCCCATCCAGTCACTGTGCTGATAAGCAGCTGGGAAGTGGATCTCTCAGAGGTGTTGGGGATGAGGGGTGATTGAGAGTGGGAGGGGTGAGGTGATGTGATGGGGAATAGCTCAGTGGAGGCCTGTAGTGTAGGGGTAAGAGCTAAGATGGGTGAGAGGAGTGACATGGTCAAAGGGGTGAGGATGGTATACCTGCATGCAGTATGTTGGTAGAGTTCAGCAAAGAACTGAGGTGTAGAGTAAGGGAGTTGATATTTGATAGGTGGAGAGTGGTGATGGGTGAGGGTTTTGAGACGAGGTGAGGGGTGATGAGGTGAAGGGTGTATACCTGCATGCGGATGCTGTGGATTTGGTCTGTGTTGGCCGTCAGGGGGGTATAGCTCAGTAAAGGCCTCACCCAGGAGCCTGTCGATGGGAGACTCTCTCCCTGCCTCGTAGTCACTGTCCCCAGCCTCGCTATCACCACGACCACTGTCCTTCAGACTAAACTTATCCATGTCGTTCAGAGCATACCTGGAGATGGTGAGAAGAAATGCTGGTTAAACTTCCATAGAAAGCAACATTGGAGAATGGTTCAAGGCTTATGCATATATCGAAACTAAGTGCAGTGGAGGTTTTTGCATACAATTATTAAGGTTGAGTCCTAAAATAGAACAAGGCACATATAGGCCTAAGAGGGAATACTGCCAAAAGCTTTTTAGGAATATGTAAAGCATTGTAGGATATGCCTTAGCACCTTACTGAGTTATGCACACATTCTTAAACATGTACATTCTGATTCCCTTCCGGTGTGTTTATTTTAAGATGTAGGTACATGGTGTTATTACCTGTAGCTCCTGGTGTATTTGTTTCCACGGAAACTTGGTCGTGGCTGGTACTGGCCCTGATGGAGCATGGACAGAAGCTGTGAGACTTGCTACAATCCCCCCAAAAAAAGAAAAAGAAAAAAGAAAAAAGAAAGGATAGTGAAAATAAAGGGGAAAATGAAAAGGGAAAATGAATAAATGAGTACCGATGGGAGCAGACAGACATAAGGATACATGAGGTGGATGAATGTTGATATGACGGATTCTAAAACATGACATGATCATGGGAAATAAGGGACGGAGAACTGAACATAACACACCGTGGGGCACACATTCAGAACAAATACTGAACATAAAATATATAACGCAAAAATAATTAATATTCAATTCAATTCAATTCATCATTAGATTTCTATATCACCATAATATAAGGCAAATCTTAAACTCAGTCATTCTTTATTCTATAGATCCATAGTTGATGGTAGTCTATTTTATTCCAAAGGCATTTAAGAGATTCAAAGACTACCATTAGCAGATAACATATTCATGTAACCATATAGTAATACATTACTAAGGACTTAGGACATGAAATTAAACCTTCTCTCTCTCTCACTCTCTTCCTCTTACCTCGACAGGGGGCGTGGCATGGGCCAGTTCCAGAGCAAAATTATCTGCAACGTGATTGGAGGAGATGGTGACTAGGCTGTTAAGCGACTGGTGGCTGTGTTGGCTCTGCCGGCTGCCCATGGTTCCCCTCTCAGGGACAGGCGACGCAGAAGGTGAGCGTGGGTGTGCCCGTACGGGCAGGGTGCCGTTGACGGTGGGGACCAGGGTGATGTCTCCCTTGTGGATCTGCCTAGAGGGCTTCTTTGGGTGGTTCTGGTACGTGTTCTCAGCCACCCTGCAGTTGTACGAGTTGCGTGGGTCCTTCTTCTCCCTGTTGCAGCGTGCTGTGGTGAACATCACCATGACCACCAGCAGCAGGGCACACACGGCCCCCAGGGAGATTATGATTATGAGGGACAGGTCCAGCGGTGGCTGGCTGGGGCCTGTGGGGAGGCCTGGGGGCAGGATGTCCATGTTCTCCTGGAGAGAGAGGCGGAGCAGGGCCCCCGTGGACAGGCGGGTGGTGCCCCTATCCTGCACCTCCACCCTGATCTCCAGTATGTCCTTGGGAACCCCTTCCAGACTGCCATTGGTCCGCAGCTCGCACCGCCGCGCGTCCATCACAAACAGGCCCTCCTCGTTGCCCCCGATGATGGAGCAGCTCAGCTCGCCGTTGGCACCGGTGTCGCGGTCGGTGGCCTTGATGATGGTGACCAGCTGACCAGCGGAGGCGTGTCTCCAGAGAGGTAGATCGGCGGTGTGGTTCCGTAGGGGTGGGGACTGGATGATGGGCGGATTGTCGTTGTCGTCGAGCACGGTCAGAAGGACGGTGGCGTTGGAGGAGAGGGCGGGGTTCCCTCCGTCGCGTGCCTGGACTGTGAAGGCAATGCGGCTGATGTCCTCGTGGTCAAAGCTCCGTAGAGCATAGATGGCGCCGTTGGACGGGTCAATAGTGACGTAGGTGGAGATGGGGCTTCCCTGGACCAGAGCTTCCACTACCGTGTAGGTCACCTGACCATTGGTGCCCAGGTCAGGGTCGGACGCCACCACTGTCATCAGGTAGGCCCCGGGAGAATTGTTCTCTGACTTGAAGACCTCGTAGCGACTCTTCTCAAAGTGGGGCGGGTTATCATTTTCATCCAACACCTGCACAGTGAAGTGTTTGACTGTGGAGAGGCTTGGAGAGCCGCGGTCCTCAGCTATGACTGTCAGACTGTACTCTGACCTCTTCTCTCTATCCAGAGACACGTTGGTGAGGATCATGTAATTCTTCTCATAGGTCTTCTGCAGCCGGAAGTGACCGTGGCCGTGCAGGCGGCACACCACGTCACCGTTGAGCCCTGTGTCACTGTCGTCCACCCGCACCAGTGCTATGAAGGTGTCCACTGGCGCGCCCTCCGAGATGTAGGCCACCTCCTCCTTGCCAGGAGTCATCAGGTTAATGTTGATCTCAGGTTTGTTGTCATTCACGTCCACCACTTTGATGACGATTTTACAAAGTCCGGGGATGGAGTTGGGACCCAGATCCTGTGCCTGAACGTCCAGCTCATAAGATGAAGTAGATTCATAGTCCACTTTTTTAATCAAAGTGATTTGACCATTTTCTGGGTTAATTTTAAACGTCTCCAGTATTTTGGGAGAGACATGACTGCTGAAAGAGTAAACTATTTTACCGTTAGTGCCCTCATCCGGATCCGTGGCATTTAAATCAATCAGTAGAGTCCCGAGTGGTGAGTTTTCCAGGAGATTAATAACGTAAGCCTGCTCGTCAAAAGCCGGACTGTTGTCATTAGAGTCCGAGATGCTTATCTTGAGCAGAGTGGAGCCGGACTTCGGGGGGACTCCATTGTCTGAGGCCGTTAGCTGCAGCTGGTAGTTGGACTGCACCTCCCTGTCCAGCTCTCTCACCACAACAAGCTCTGCGTATTTGGCACCGTCGGTTCTGGTCCTAATGTCGATTTTGAAAAAGTTATTCGGGGTCAGGGAGTAAGAGTAAAGGGAGTTATCTCCCACGTCAGGGTCCGTGGCGCTGTCCAGCTGGATCCGGTTGCCCACAGATGCACTCTCGGAGATCTCAATGGGGATGATGGCACGAGAGAACTGTGGTGAGTTATCGTTAATGTCCAAGACTTCCACCTCGACGTGGAAGAGCTGAAGGTATTCAGTAGGCAGAGTGATAACGTCAAATTCGATAGAACAGTTGAGGTTCTTTTCACAAATCTTCTCCCGGTCAATCTTGGTCCCTATGGTGATTTCACCGTCCTCCTCCCGAACCGACAGAAACGGTGTGCTCCCCCGCTGCATAGCACGGAACAGAAAGGACACTGAACTCGGTAATTTAGACAGAACACCCGCCACGTCTTCCTTTAGCCTTGCAATCACTGTGCCCACTTTTTGCTCTTCATAAACTTTATATTTCAAAGTCTTACCAGAAACGTCCTGCATAATTGCAACCAAAAATAATAATAATGCAGTGGAAAATACTATATTCCCTTTGGGTGTATTCATTTTGGCACCCATCTTCAGCACCCAGGCTAGGGCTACAGTTCCACGGAAGAGCAAGGTCTGAAAAAATATGCTTTCTCAAAAGTCTGGCATGTTCCTCCAGTTAAGTCACCGTCGGTGAAAAGTCGCACAAAACGACTTGAAGATGGAGATTGGAGAACCCAAGATGAACCGGGTCACAGTTCTCTTTCGGCTTCGATTTTACACCAAAAAACAACAACTCAAATGCAGTTTTTCTTGCTATCGTAGACGGATCTGTTGCATACATCCACTTACGCCGTTTCTGTGTGTGAGTGTGTGTCTGGAAATCTGAGCGAGGAGAAAAGGCGCAGCTCCGCTTGTGTTGCTGTGCGCTCTGCTCTGTCGCGCGCTCCTGCCGTCTGTGTCTCGTATCAGTAGACAGACTGGCCCTGATAGCCCGCCCCTCACCCAAACTGCGTCTTTTTCCTCAGCTCACACAAAAACATTCCCCACCCCTCCCCTCCTCCCCTCTCCTCTTCACCCCACCCTAAATCAAGTGCTGCCCCTTCGCTGCATCCAGGATATCCACTCACAACACAGAGGGCCCATTGATTCCAGAAGCCGGGAGGACCAACCCAAAGACGTAGTTGTAAAGTGTGCCACAACAATAGGTAAGGGGGATTATTCAGGGCGAACTTTAAACATGTCCAGATTGACCCAAGGCTGCCTCGGCACTCGCATGTTGTTATAGCTGCAATTCACCAACGTGTGCCACTGTCCATTTTCCCCCCCTACATTAAAAATGAAAAGAACTTTAACATTCCATATAATATCCCCCAAAATAGCCCTGTTTGCGTTTTATGCACTGGTTATAAGCAGCTGTCAGTAAAAATTCACAATTTATTTTGAGGTGAATTGTATATGTGGTTGTCTCGTATATTTAACTGGAAAACATTGCACAAAATATGTAACATTGGACACAATATGTAATGGGGTATTCGAGTTGGTTACAGTGGATACAATTAGGTTACCAATTTTGTTCCTAAAGTCATGGTGATGAGAAGGTTGCATAGCCTCATATTTCCAAGCCACCAGTGTGGAGAGAGGACTATAAGAGTGAAGGTTTGTGGATCCCTAAATCTTGCTTTTTACTGAGTGAGGGTAGAAGACCTCTGTACGCCCTCACTATTGTGTGTTCCACCAGGGTTCCGCGTGTGGCGAATCTCTGAAAGGATTCCCTGGAGCTGAATGCGCCTCGAGGCGGGTCACGCGGGCAAACACTTTTCACCCCGTGCATAATACTGCTTTAGAATCTCACATTAGCATCCTCAAACTCGCGCTCAAAGAGCAAACACGAGCAACTGGATCTTTAAGAAGGCACCAGACCATCTGCGCGAGGTTCAGACAACCCAAACCCATAATTAGGCCTACGTCAATTTCGGTCCCGCGAGCCTAAACGCCCTTTCAGATGGAACTCGCACCTTGCCTTGATAAATATCTAAAAAATGGTTGGCCCCATTCAGCGCGTAATTAGACACAAGCATGCCACATGCATTCCCACTAAGCTATTTGATGTGGTAAACCGGAGCACTAAGGTATTCTTGTATCACTGATGGCTATTTAAGGCCAATGGACAAACTTTTTTTTTTTTCTCTCTATAAAATTGGATAGAGTATATTTACGGAGGTTCGCTGCATTTAAATTCCTGGAGTGACTCGTGGGAAAAAGGAAAACGCAGCAGAGGAGATGCGCTCGCTCTCTCTGCCATCTGTCTCCATGAGCACGCACACATGGACATTGATTCAGCAGAGCTGTAAATCAATATAGCGCTCTCCCTAATGATTCAGCACATATCATTTATACATATAAAAGACAATTACCAGCTAATAAACACATTTTCTGTGTTTGATTTTGTGATTTTAGTAAGATCATCACATGTGCTACAGTAATATGTGGCATTAGAACAATATAAATGTGACCCAAATATTTGTTTTAGGCGATGCGTAAAAAGGTCCTCAACGCAGCATCCAACATAAGCGCTCAAACGTTCAATGAAAGAAGTGGTGCCAAATAATTTTTTGGCGGGCGCTGGGGAGGCCTGAACAGCAATATGCCTAAAATCTTCTCTCACAAGGGCAGACATGACACCGTTCGCTGTGTGAAATGTAGCTAGGGAGCCTGGGTGAAAACTCCCCGCTAACGTTTAACAATGTTAGCCACGGGCGGATGCTTCGATTCTCTCCGTCTCTGAGAAATATCATTACTGCCGTGGGGAATGTAAGCTAATCACATTTCCTCCACGAAGAAGACCAACACAGCTCGAGCTTAAACAGAACGGGTTTTATTCTAATAATACCCATGGAAACACAACATCAATGGGGTATGTTTGCCGAAAGCAGATGCATTTAGATACGCTCTTCTCTGGGTTAATATGTAGGAACTATATTTTTAGAAACATATACCAAGTCTATGTTAACCTTAAGTCGAGGGCTTAGATGGCAGGTGCGGTGACAAAACAGTTAACTTCATCCAAATTGCCTTATGCCATGGTTGGCAATACAATTATAAGAACTATAGGCTGTAGACTACATAAATTAGCCTAAGCCAGATATTTACATTTCAGTGTTGTTATGTAAAATAATCAGATTAATATCTCAAAGCAAATGGCTATTTGGTAATGCAATTAGCTAGGCTATAGCTTGCCAATAGCTTCCCTACATAAATGATCTCAAATACCAAATCAACATTTAACACAACTCTAGATGCAATTTTATGCTAAGATGCTGTTTCAATCATAGGGCTGCGTATATTACTTCAGAAAATGTTCCATTGTGTTATTTTGGCGAAGTCAGTCTTGCCTCCTCATATGGCACTCTCTGTGGATGGAGAGGGGGTGCAGTGATTCAACCCACTGGGGTCGTAAGTTACTTCTGGGAAGCTGGTGAGATGGGGGAGGGGAGAGCTGAACTTTCATTGAAATGAAGGAGATCCCAATGACAAAAGCGCTTAGCAGGTGTAACCAGACCGCCCCGGGGTCCACCAAAAACTAAAACCGGCGGGGGAGCTGCGTGCGCGAGCCACTCACAAAAGGGAAAGTTTCTCCCCCACCCCCTCCCAGTCTATGCGCCAGCCGGCGGAATGCGCCTGCTCTGGCGCGCGCCGGGGTCGCGGGCGTTTGTAAAGGCATCCAAGCATCTGCCGCCTCCGCTCTCATTATCATTCTGTTAGCTCGCGCGGATCTCTCGCGAGGATATGATTGTAGACGAGCTGGGTGAGGAGGTGAGAACACGGGTCTCTTCCGTGTGGCCTCGCGACAATGCTTATTGTTATTCATCCCCAGCAAGAATCGCAGTGGTTACTAGGGGGTTTATTGCCATAAGACACGTGCAGCAGAGCGGGTATATGGCCAACACGAAGACGGACACTGTCATATAAATAGTTACAATAGTCTCCTCTGTCATTCAAGGTGGCCCATGCAGAGTTTACAACAACTTGTATCAACATTTACATCACGCACGCCCACTGCGCCTTTCTTCTGAGACATGTCCATGATTTGGTTCAAATGAATGGTATGGAATTAGTGGTTTTTAATAAATCCCAGCTATGTGTGCACTATAATACAGGTTTTACAAATGTATAACTTCACCTAAGTATATTATTCCCCAAGAACTGCAGTTTGCAAATAGGCCTATCTAGATAACAACGCAATGCATAGGCTACCCACAATTTCATTCATGATGTCACGTTTTATTGTAGGGCCTATCCCATATGGAAATCATAAATGTCATCATTTTTGAATGTATATATCTGAGTTGCTTCACATAGCCTACATTGAAATAGGCACCCATGTCTCGAGGATTCGAACCAGCGATCTTTCGGTTACTGACTCAACGCTCTAAACCGCTAGGCTACCTGTTTGCCCTTTCTTTATACACTGAACAAAAATATAAAAGCAACATGCAACAATTTCAAAGATTTTACTGAGTTACAGTTCATATAAGGAAATCAGTCAATAAAAAAAAAAAAATTAGGCCCTAATCTAAGGATTTCACATGACTGGGAAGGGGCGCAGCCATTGGTGGGCCTGGGAGGGCATAGGCCTACCTAATTGGGAGCCACGCCCAATCACTGAGGAGCCAGGCCCAGCCAATCAGAATACGTTTTTCCCCACAAAAGCGCTTTATTACAGACCGAAATACTCCTCAGCACCCCCTCCATCCCCTTAGACGATCCCCCAGGTGAAGAAACCGGATGTGGAGGTCCTGGGCTGGCGTGGTTACACGTGGTCTGCGGTTGTGATGCCGGTAGGACGTACTGCGAAATTACATTCCTGCAGTCAGCATGCCAATTGCACGCTCCCTCAAAACTTTAGACATCTGTGGCATTGTGTTGTGTGACAAAACTGCACATTTTAGAATGGCCTTTTATTGTCCCCAGCACAAGGTGCACCTGTGTAATGATCATGCTGTTTAATCAGCTTCTTGATATGCCACGCCTGTCAGGTGGATGGATTATCTTGGCAAAGGAGAAATGCTCACTAACAGGGATGTAAACACATTTTTGCGCACAATTTGAGAGAAAAAAGCTTTTTGTGCCTGTGGAAAATATCTGGGATCTTTTATTTCAGCTCATGAAACATGGGACCAACACTTTACATTTTGCGTTTATATTCTTGTTCAGTGTAGTTAAACTGCACCCTCTGTCAGTCTTTCTCTCTTTCCCTTATTATCTCTGTCAGACCCTCTGAGAGGACGGTCATCATATCTTCCATGACCGTATATCCTTCTCTTCTCTACAGTGCCATGTGTTCCATCCCTGTGAGCTGAGCGATAGAGAGGAAGAAATACCAGGCCACTCCGAGAAATACAGTACCACAGAGACCACTGATGCTCTTCACCAAAAAGAAGTACAGGGACCAGTACAAAAGAAGGTATTGCTTCATAGCTCTTTGTTGACACTAGTGAGGAATTGTGTCCTGAGTCATGGCTGTTCAGTGGTACCAGTGGGGAATTCTAAATAACCAAATATCCCCACCACAACTCTGCTGAACCATGCGGTAGCTGGTAGCTTAGACACTGTAGCTGTGTTGTGTTTGTTCACCACTTGTCCCTTATCAGGCCCCATTGTCTTGGCTGTGATTACGGTCTCATCTGTTGGGTCCCTTTGCTACTGTGCTGTCCCTCTGTAAAAGTCCCCTATAGGACTGTCTGAAGGACCTCCTTGACTCTGGCTGTTTCTCTGTGTAGTATATAGGGCAATGTACTTGTAGTGTGGTGTGTACTTCATGGTATGTACCTGCTGCTGTTTATAAATGTATGACCTTAATTTGATCACTCTTTTGTTGATGAGAATGTTCCTGCACAGCAGGAAATGCAAATGTGTTGTGTATTGAAGGTTTAAAATGGCTTCTTAAGTTTGTAATTTCCACATACAAATGTCAGACTTGA